GCGGTTAAAAATGACAGTTAGTCTTAAGTTCGAGGGCGAACAAGCAAAGCTGAAAGTCCTGCTCTGAAAGCAAGCAGACCATGAATGTTTCACGCTAGTTCGCTCTGCGTGATGACTACCAGGGCAGTGACGTCATTTCGTGCGAATGATATTCTCAGTATAATGACTTAGAAAAAGGGGGCGGAATGAGTTCGCGGGCGTTACAAATCGTTGAGTTGACGTAAAAGCATCAACACTAGGCAGATGTGCATTGAGGCTAGCAAGATATGCGAACCGAAGATCAGTCCCGAGCCTTCTTCATCACTGTCACACGCAAAATTGCAATTTGACTCACTGGTACCTCAGGTCGTGCGCAATATAAGGTTTAACATGGGTGGAGAAATTTCTTATAAAAAACGTCCCAACAATTTCAGCTCTACCACACTCAGAGACGCTTATGTCCTAGAAAAGGCTCAGCAAAGTTCGAGGATGCGTCGTAGTTTTAAGTGTACGCACCGGATGGAAAGAATTATGCCGTAGAAAATCGCATATTTTGGCAGCTAGGGTAGGAAAAGAGGTTGAAGATGGTGGCAGATTCAAGTCGTTTTATAAGCAGATCCACATGTCCGTATTAGTCGACAACTGACTATGTTAATTTTTCGATTTTTCAATTCATGCATCGTGCCCCTCACGGAATGCGCTCTGTCGATGCTTTTGACGGAACCCTCTGTATTTGCCATATACTAGTAGTTGGGTCGCACCTCCCTTGCCCCCTCCTCGGCTAGACTCGGCTGACTGTAACTGATCGCACCTGGGTTCCTATCGCATCGAGACTGGTTTTCAATTCGCCACTTTGACATGAATGGCCTCACCCGGCATATGAATCCTGCCTTGATGATGATGCCCGTTTCGAACCTTTTACTCAACACCACATACAGGCCAGTCCCGTCTGACCCGCCTACTTACTCCTTCATTAAATCCGTTATACACTGTCACATACAGGCCGTTCCTGCCTGCTTTTTATATATTAAGGAGCGAGAGTTTTTCTTCTCCTATAGTTCTAATCCAATCATGCTCATTTTGTTTATGTTAGGAGTTATTTTCACTGCTCGTTCATCATTCTCTGTAACATACTACTTAGTCAATAACTATGAATTAAGTATGGCATGGATTCTGTGTACCTGTTCTAGAATTCATGTGAAAGTTATTTTTACTTGCTATCAACGGACCCCCACGGGTCTTGAATGAAAAGTATTATTATTAAAAAAGTTATAAGTACACGAGCTTAGCTGGGATAAAACGCGTGGAAGCACAGTCTGATTGATAACATTCCCCCTGCAAATTCGAAGTGCATTGAGAAACGGAGGGAGAAGACAAGCCGGGCTAATTTTTTTATTGCAAACACGCAGTATACTTTGAGAGGGAAACACCGCAACGGAGGCCCTCGGTAATTGAGCGTTTGCAATCGTTCGACTGTTAATGGAACACCGTCGCCGTGTCCCGCGGCATGCTGAACACAGGGACGGTGACTTGCGGGTGAATTAGAGCGTAGTGATGGGAGACTTGCGTTGTATCCACCGCACTTCCTCCTCCTTTACTCTCCTCGGCCGCGGATTGAGACATTGTCAAGAAGACCTGAGGCGGGGTCCGGCGAATTGGCTGACAAAGCTAAACAACCCACCCGCCACACACAACCTGCTCACCAATAAAACGTATCAGGTTTCCACAGAAAGGGGATGGGCGGCTCGGCTATCGCATGCGTCCGAGCACCATAGTGACTACACTGGAAAATCACCAAAGAACGCAGTTCTTGGTGGAGTGAGATAGTCCGGCTCCGTTCCTCTGGGGGATGATATGGGACAATTTCCTGTATGTCTTACATGGGGGTTGGGGAGTATCTAATGATGGGGTTCCATCCGCGATAACTTACCGCACATTCTTCTGGACGCGCATGCGCCGGAGTAGGCCAATGCGGTGACTGAATGTGCCTGGGCAGTGCAAGCAGTCGAGATGGGTGCGGCGCATGTGTGTTGAAACTTCAGACACTGGTTCGCCAATCTCAGTGATGTGGATTCGCTAGTGGCCGACCCGGCTGATACGTTATGTAAAGGCGCGACAGCAGTGAGGACAAGTTCAGATTGAGTTTGTATTTGCTGATTGTTAGGATAGTGGTTAGCTGGGCGTCATACATTTTCTTACCGGCGGTTGGAGTGCGAGGGGTGGTAGCCGTCGCCTCGAGAGTTGTGACAGTGATTATGTGGTTGGGGGTGCAGCGATATCGGGGCATCGTGAGTGTGCTCGCCCATCGTGGTGTCAATCGTCCTCGCCGTGGTGGCCGTCGTGAATTTTGTGCCAAGTGTGACGATGGAGGCCTTTGCTGGGGCAGTATGTGGAGTGTCGTGTCGTTACTGCATTTAGTCCGAAGAAGTCCGGGGAGGTGGTTCCGCCCGCGAAATGCTTGCTGACAACGGGGACGCGATGTGATGGGTGGGGTTATTAGCTTTTGAAATCGAAGGCAGTTAAGACGTGCCATCCGCTCCTTTGCTTTTGGCACCAGCGATAAGGTTGAACTCGTTGGTCGCGGCTCCAATCTTAACTACCCTTCTCCAAGCCGGTCGTTCCTTGTCGTGACCCGTCCAGGTTTCCAGTTTCGCAATGGCAAGACGAAAAGCCGTGTCCTTAAACATAAAACAAGACAATGATTTTCAAACGCCAACCAGAAACTGCTGATAGTGGCTTACTTGATTGGGCTTAGTGAGATGGGAAGAGGCTACCGGATGTCAAGTGGTTTCGATTTAAATAAAAGACACCCATGTGTCACTTTGTCAAAGGTTATATTAGGCTTCAAAATAAGTAACTGTGGCAGAACATCGTTCTTCCCAATGTGAGATAACAAGTTGCAAAAATGAATGCCACACTCTGCATGAGGTTTTAAACGAAACGTTATGTTGATTAGGCTGATAGAAAAAAAAATTGTTTGTTAAAAAATACGGCCTCCATAAATTGGTTTTGAGTCAGTGTTTCATCCACATCTCGATGACTCTTAGTGTCCGCCATGAGGATTAATATAAAATTGAGAAAGTTGAGATAGTTCTTTCATTTTTGGAAAGAATCCATTCGAAAGAGTGACTGAACGGAGTGGCTGAACAGACACCTTTCTGATAAACAGGTTTCGGAAACCGTCTGCCCCCGGTAAAATAGTGAGACGGTTGTCAAACCGGTTCGGGCGAATTATTTGCGTGGAATAGAAAGATAAACGAGTGGAAACGCATATGCGAGTCCCAGGTTCATGTTGCAAAGAAGACGAACGCGCGATCATTGGGGCAGATCTCGGTCTCGTACAGGAGGCCAGCGTCAGAGAATGTGACAATGCGGCGTCAGATGGACAGTTTTTGTAGTCAACCGAAGAAGGCGGGTAGCAGCGCAGAGAGTGTGGTGTTCGCGATAGGGCTGAGCCCACGCCGTCTCACGGCGGCGTGACTGTGTGGGTCTCACGTCCTGGTCGCGGGAGCGGAGCGTGTGATAGCAGGGGGGGGGGGGTGGTATACCAACGTGTCAAATACCCGGGCCTCCAGTCCAGACTGGTAAATGTACTGTCCCAGTGATCGCGCGTCCATTTTCTTTGCAGAAAAAATAAACCTTCCAAGCACTTATTCTCCCGGAACCCAAATGTAAAGGAGCACATGCGTATGTAAAGCTTCCTTTTTTGGAAAACAACCTTTGATCTGAGGAAATGTTTATATGCAATAGGACACAATTTAAGAATTTCAGCCAGCCCGTTAACGGTATTGAAATCCCTGCCTGGTTCAAGTAAGACGATTTCAACTTTTCTGTTTTATCAGGTTTCAAGATACAAACGGTTATTCTTGTCAGAATGTTTATGGTGCTGAATATCTACTTCAAATGCTGCGTTTGCTGTCAGTTAACAATTGTATTAGTCGAGGAAAGAGTAAGTTCCCTTCCAGAACATCTCCGCAAGGATTTCAAAATAACTTTAACTAGACAGACGGAATGATGGCCTACCGATATCGCAGCAATACCGTTCTCCTGGCCAATTCAAGGCTTTAGCATACAAGGAGGCTGACAGTTCTTGGGTGGGCATTGAGTTTATGGTTTCGGCTACGCTGCCTAACCCTTTAAGTCGCTATCTAAGTAAAGTTCTGTCAAACTTTGGCATTTATTTTACTTCGCAATTTTAATTATAATAGAGCTTTCTTTGCCATCCCTTTTCTTCATTGAACAGGACATTTGTACTCAAGTTGACTATTACCGTTCTTATCATATATTCCGCCTGCTATTGGTCCCTTCTACCGTCCTCTATCCTTCAGTATCAAAAACTGGAGGATTGTCCGCCGTAGATGCTGTCTCACTGGGCTCCGCACTCCTCACCGTGTGTCCCTTCACGCACCTAGTTGTCGCGCCCGTTGTGGTCGAGTCCGCTCTAGTCATTTTATTGTAGAAATGGCACACAGTACCAACTAAACCTCAGGCCTGGTCGACATCTGAAGGTAGTCACGCAGCGAGCTGGGAGTCGAGCTACCGAAAAGCTGGTTTCTGACTGCTTCCTCTGGTCTGGGATGCACAAGGACGTGAAAGCATGGACAAGGGCGTGTCTCGACTGTCGATGGAATAAGGTTAAACGACGCAGAAAATCTCCTATTGGCATGTCCCCCACCCCGTATGCACGGTTCAGCCATTTCTACCTGGAATTAGTAGGCACCCTGCCTCTGTCCAGTGGCTGTTCCTATCTCCTCATTTGTGTGGATCGATTCACATGGTGGTTGGACGCTATTATCCTGCCTGGTTTCGCTGCTACAGTCTATCCTCTGGCAGCCAATGGGTTGGTCGAGCAGTTTCACCGTCAGTTGAAGGCCTTTCTACGCGCCGCAGACGATCCGGAGAAATGGACAGACCACCTCCCTCTGGACCTGTTGGGCATTTGCTCTTCCCTCAAGTCTGACCTTGACTGTTCCGTAGCTGAACTCGTATTCGGTGCCACCGTCCGACTTCCCAGTCAGATGGAAACCCTGCGATTTGCAGTCGAGGATCCTACCAACCTCCTACACTGTCTGTGGCAATTCATGCGGTCACTTTCCCCGGTTCCGCCTAGGTCATTCGTCTCCAAATCTTGCCTAGAGAAAGAATTGGCGGCATGCCCTCACGTCTATCTCCGATGTGATCGAGTCGGCCGGCCATTGGAACCACCCTCCGATGGCCTCTTCCGAGTTATCTCTCGGGGAACGAAGAACTTCCGCATCCTATTCGGAACTCGCGAGGAGGTCGTGATCGTGGAACGTCTCAAAGCTGCTATCCCGAACACTCCTCCGGATGAGCCCTGTGGTCCCCTACTCCCTGCTCCACCTCCCCGGCCCTCTATCCCTCCGTCCCGTATGTTTCGTCTGTCCCCATGTCCGCGACCCCCAGTTCCAACTACCACTTCGTCAACCAACAACACTGTAACCGCGAGCCGTACTCACTCTTTACCTGTGTTCCCCTGTATATATCACCCTTAGTGGACGCCATTTTCATCTTCCTGACTGTTTGGTTACTCATGTTTTTTAGACATGAACACTTCCTTCGGCGTCGTTACGCGCCGCCTTCGGTCTAGCCGGAGGTACTGCAGCAGTTCGCGTCTCCTTGTCCTCCGCCTTTGTCACGCTGCCTTCCTGTCCGCCTCACACTCCTTGTCGATCCGCTGCCGGGACGCGTGAGGCTTGTCACTAGCCTCGCGAGTGGTGAAAGTCAATCAACGCTGTCCCTCCTCTGAGTGGATAGCGGACGCTGGGACAACTAAAGGCGCACACATGCGCTGGGTCTCAGAACCTCGAAGGCGGACGCAGAAAAACAACTTGCCTGGAGAGCGCGCTTGCGACGACTGCTTGCGGATCTTTGTGCACTCAATTCAATAGTAAAGTTTGTTCGAACCCAATCTGTCTTCCCTGACTTTTGCTTTAGGAATCTTAGTCTTGTCGACCACACATCCCACTTTCGCAGTGTCAGCAGCAGGGTATTTGTCTAATCTGAGTTGTAATGCGACTCTCTGCTGGTGGATAAGTGTCGTAACGTAGCTTGTAAAGTCGCATAGATTCACGTCAGTCAGTGAGTCCTCGGATATCGTCCTCCCTACAAAACGACAATTTGCTCAACGTCAATTTCAGCCACACATGCGATTGAAGATGACAGTAAAGTGAGTCTCCGAGGCCTTCCGTGTGCGAGCTTGATGACTTCAATAACAGTCCTGCAGGTATAATCGTTTAATCTGTCCAAATTACACCTACCATCTCAATTTTCTGAGTTTTCACACTACTCAGACGGGCGTTTTTTAGTCTGAGATCTGCTTTCAGCAAACCCAACCAAATCCAACGCTTCTGTATCCCTCTTCTTCGACCCCTTTTTCCCTTGAGATACACCCTCGGCAAGATTTGCGGCCACTTCTCCAAGTTTTCCATAAGATGGGCATGCCAGTATTTGACATCAAACTCCACTCTTGTTATAATTACTTCATAACACTGAAATGATCGAGGTTGCGCACATGTTTTCTTTTTCTTTGTGGAAATGTTGAAGTTGGTGTTGACGGTGAGGAGCTCCTGCTCCGCCTAATTCTCCAGGAACAGTCCGTTGCTGTATGGTGGTCTGCTTCGCGGCATTTATCTTCTTCCTCCCAGATCGCATGATATATACCTACTCGGTATTAAAACAACGAAGAAAAACCCACTTTTACCGCCTTTTAAGAGGCGCGAAGGCGGACATTTCGACCTTGACAGAAACTATCCTACTGAGACGGCAACGGGCTCGTAGCCCAGTGGGTAGAGGCGTTGACTTCTAAATAACAGGTCGCGATTTCGAGCCTCGGATGTTCCACACTTCGGGGTTGAGTATGAATGCCGACGACGGCCAATAAGCCAGAAATGGCCATTCCAGTCTCCCTTGTCTCTGCCAGTAATGCCATACTGCCTATATCATGCGCCGCTGTGCGGCTGCTGTTTGGGCTCGAGAGAGAGAGAGCCCGTAAGGCACAACGGAACGAGTGAGTTCCGTAAGAATGATCGGTGAGCGCCCCCTACCATAGAAACTATCCTTTTTGTCAGTATTTTTCTCGTTTTGTGTGCGTAAGCATGTATAATAAAGGAAACATCTTCCTTATGATAGTGCGCCTAATTAACACAGGGGGGCTATTTATTCCGTGGGCATTATTTTTGTAGAGCCCAACTAGTAGGACAGTGAATTGGTCCTAGTAACATGTTTCTGCACAGTATAAGCAAAAACCTAAAATTGTTGAGATAATATGAACTATTTTTAAAACTTTTGTAATACTACGTTAAGCTTACGGATTCTAGACAGAACCGAGGCTATTCCATTGGTACTATCAAGCTGATGTTAATAGTACGCCAACCAGGTAGTGTCGATTCTGCAATTTTAGTCCATCAGCATAGGTCCTACAGGTGAGTAGGCAGAACAACTTGAAATAGAGGGTCGCCATGTGAATCAACTTGAGTAAAACCTGGTAGGGCGGATACTGGTTGCGGTAAACTAGAAAGCACGCAGCGGCTTTTGGTAAAGATGAGAACTTTCGAATGGAAAAACGACGTAAGCTGTCGTGAAGGGTGTGCAGGCGAGTACTTTAGATGTGGTAAGTCAGCTCAACAGAAATCGATAGAGAAGCAGTCTACCACTGTGAAACTAGGCAGAAATTAGCAGAATTAACTGCGCATTCTTTCACATAATCTTCCTCATCAAAAACTGCACAGCGGTCTGCAGAGGCTTATTCCCAAACCACTATCTTCAAATTGCCTCCAGTAAAGATGTCATGGGGTTTGTTTTCGTACTTAACGTGCTGAAGTCCAGTCACATAGTCATTTCTGGCTGACTTAGTTGCCTCCTCGTATGGGCGTTCTAGTTAACAGCTAAACTGCAGTGCACAGTGTTTTCGATATCTATGACCACTAGTTAAGCAGGCGGAACAGACTTGGAACGTATGTCACGCATTGCACAATAACCACGACGAAAATGTTTTTGTAAGGTGTCTGTTAGTTAATCTACGATGAAGGATTGGGTTTGAAGCAGCCCTTTATACAGAGTCAGGATCTCCGCAAAGAGATGAGCGCAGCTCGTTTAGTCTTACATCATATAGGAGTTCATATCAAGACTCGAGTGTGATTTTGTACGCAGGTTGTCGACTGGAAGGACCAATGACCGATCCAAATTAAGGCCGGATAGAATACAGTTTTCATTCTATTTCGACGATGTAATTCTAATTCTGTCGTCAGAAGAACTTTGTATGTTTTGCGGTGGATTTCTGGCGTTCGGACATTGATTTGGAAAAAAAGCATCTTCCGCATAACAGATGGCACAGCCTTCGAGACCATAGTTAGAGTTGGGATACGGAAATATGTACCCTTGCCTCCTCTAACTGGTCATCTGTAGTAGGTGCGTACTTATTCTCCTGTCCAACCGTGAACGATAGTTGGCAATTTTAACTAACCTTTCCGCGCCTCTGTAATAAGACATGTTAATGTTTCGTTCAGGTGCAGTAAATCAACCGCCAAAGAATGGCAAACGTCAGTCGACTTGTATTCACAATTGGCCCCAGTAGATCCTTTTACGCAAAATGGACTGGAAAATTCGGCAATGACGTTTTCTTGGATTTTACCTGATTTAAACTGTTTCCCGAAAATTGGAGTTAAGTCATTTTAGCAAACTTAGGTAGAAGTCAATTAGCACAAGATATGAAAAAGTGCCCACGGGAAACGGTTTGGAGAAGGACACCACTTAACTGATGGCAGATTGTGGATCACAGCATAGGGGTTTTTATCTTGGCATCCATTCGCAGGCCTTTGTAGATATGACACTGTCAATAACAATCACTTCCCATGACTCCAAACAATCATTCAAACTCCTTTGTCTTTCGAAATTTACTTTTGGTTTATTTTTAATTACCACGCCCATTTCCGTATTCGCACGAAAGCGTACGATGTGTCTTTCAGGAGAAGTCCAAACGATTTCTGTGTTTACTTGCGTTTCGTCAGCTTACTGTCTAGTTCGCTGCCCCACCCGTAAAACTACCCTTAACGCCAATCACGTATAACACGATCCAAATTCTACCGAAAGTAAAGTGGGGTCCTTCTCCATACCGTTGCCTGTCCAGAAAGTAAATTTACCGCGTTTAGGTGCCCGAGCAATGCTTGATTTAATTGACGACTCTTTCAATATTGCCTGAGGGTTCTTAAGTAAAGGTGAGAGGGAAGAACCCTTTGGAAGTCTGTCTACCCAACGGTGCATCTGTGTTCTCAATACTCTTTGCTTAATGCCAAGCAAATGACACGGATATTTCTCGGTAAGATGTGGTTTGGTAGCCCCAGCTGATCGACACAATACTGTTGGGGTTGGGGTTAAGGGTTAGGGTTATGGGTAAGGGCTGTAGGTTAGGATTAGGGTTCCGGATTAAGGGTTATAGTTAAGGGCTACGGTTAGGGGTTATCACGACTATTTTTCAATCATTCAAAATGCGACTGCGCATTCCCAATAGCCTTTCTTTTGCATACAGCTACTTGACTGCGTCGTCTGTGCGTTCCCCGCTCCACCTGTAAAAACCCCTATTACCACTGACCCCGTATTAGAGGTGACTGGGGGTTTTTTTTACTTCAGGTGGGGCTACAACTCCACGTCCGACCGACTTCTCCCTTCGGTTGGTATGTGAGTCACATTTGCTGATTCTAGCACTATGTTATCCCTTTCATAAATCCCGGGATAGAGCATTGCGAGTTCGGCTTAAATGACAACATAAATGAGGGCAATCGCATCTAACGAAATTTAAGTTGATGTTCTGGAAAAGTTAAATAATGCCGGCAAAATGCCTAACTTTCAAAACGCATATTTCTGTTCCACATCATTTGTATCCTGTACCCTTGCTCACGTGGAACAGAAGTGTTTTACTGTTTCGCAGTCATCAGTTAAATTACCACCCATGCGTGACTGCTCATGTGTGTGTGTGTGCTCAAGTTGGGGTGTAAAACGTCATGGCCCTTCTGGAGCATGACACGAAGATCCTAAAGAAAAAACTCATGCGTCAGACGTTTTACGTCTTCGACCTCCGTTTAGCGTACACGGCGGTTTTGTTTCAAATGCTTGTGACCTAGGTTATTCTGCATGTGGTGGCTGTCGAAAATGTGCAGCAGAGAATACTTTGCAACTTCAGCAGTGAGTAGATATATTTGATAAGTTGGCTTCATCTGGAAATGGAGGATGGTAACGAGTCTCGCAAATGTCTGGATCATCTAGGCCAAATGTGTGCTCCCTGTCCCAGGAGGATGGGAAATACAGGATATGAAGCAGCGAGGTTTGAACATAAAAGAAAAGGGACAACTGGTGAGAGGAAGAAGGAGTCATCAGACACATTTGGATGTTGTTCCCAAAAGAGTACTATTCTGGGGCATCAGCGCATGGTGAGTAAAATACCATTCGACAGAACAGAAAAGAATTGAAGACATGTTACTTTAATCAAAACGCCACATAAAATAAAGACGACGTTTGGATGTAAGAGATCTGTCTGACAATACGGTTGACATCCTGTAGTTTTGCACGATTTTTCCCGTTTCTGCAAACTAGGAAAACTGCCTATAACTCTGACTACGGCAAGGAATGGAGAAATTAAGCGCCGGAGGAGGTGCTGCAATCATATGTAAGATAGCTGAGATTGCCCCTACTTTGCTATAATCTCCTGGCATTGTGCTCAGAATTCTGGAAACAGTCTAATGAGAAAGTGAATATAAATCTACGTTAGATAAAGAGACGCGAACGACTCGTCCTTCATTGGTTCTTAAAGGGCAAGTCGTAGTATCAGAAAAATTGCACTTAGAAATGACGAATGAAAGCGAAATTTCGAGTTCCACATGTATGCGTAAGTGAAGAAGAAGAAACGTCGAGCACCGGAACACTGTGGTTATTGTCCTAAGCTTTCAGACTCGTACAGGGGTCCATCGTCAGAGGTAGCAGCAGCAACAGCAGCAGAACAAACGACAGTTATACGGCACGTAGGCCAATCATCGACCGACGGCGCAAGACTGGAGGTGACTACGCAGGGCTCTGTATGCCGGCGCAGATCGATAAATCGATTGACCGAGTTCTCATCCCAGGCCCAGGCCTCAATCAATTCTCGGCCTGGTTAGGTTTCGGCGTGGGCGACTATTTTGGTGGCACACAAAGCAAAGTGGATGTACTCAAAACTTAAGTCCCTCCAAGGCAATTCGACTACCTCAGTTCGATCAGCCTCGCAATTCCTCATAGACCTCCGGGTGAAATCATGGTCTCATACGATGTGACATCGTTATTCACAGCCATCCCACCAAACTTGGCCTGCGAAGTCTTGCGCAAGAGACTTGAAGAGGCGTACGATGAGACTCAGAATGTCCTCAAAATTGAACAGCTCATGAGGCTGTTTGAATTCTGTCAACAAACTTTCTTCACTTTTGCGGGAGAGACCTTTAAACAAATCAAGGGAACCCCAATGGGCTCACCAGTCTCCGGTTGAGTGGCAGAACTGGTCCTACAGGAGTTAGAAAATATGGCCTTCATCCAACATGAACCTGTGTTTTGGTGCCGTTACGTATACGACTTGTTTGTCATCGTAAAGAAGGATATGCTACAACATTTCCACAGCCTCCTCAACGCAGTCTTCCCTGATATAAAATTCACGAGGGAAGAAGAATAGGAACAGCAGTTGCCCTTCCTGGACGCGCTTGTCAGACGAAACCTTAACGGTGAACTTAAAACGACGGTTTATAGGAAGGCAAAGAACACCACACAGCTTCTCAGCTTTCACAGTAACCATCCGGTGGCCCGAAAACGAGGCTGTGTGAAGACGATCTTCAAAAGGATCCAAACTCATTGCAGCAAACAGGAGGACAAAGCACATGAGGCCCGTTATCTCTGCGACTAGTTTGTTCAAAAAGGCTATCCGAGGGCATTCATAAGTCGCTGCCTACGCGGTCACCACCAGAGAATTCGAACATCAACGCCACCGACGATATGGCATTCTCTGCCATACATCCAGGGCGTTTTAGAAGCGACCGAGCGCATTGTTGCTGAGTTAGGCGTTGGAATTGCACACCGTCCCAAAGCCACCATGCGCAATAAGGTCATGAAAATCAAAGACCGGTTAAAGCCTGATGAGCAATCTGGAGTAGTGTATCGCATTCCGTGTCAAAATTGTCCTTGTAACTATACAGGACAGACTGGGCGCATGCTCATATCGCGCATACACGAACATAAGCTGGCTGTGCGACGAGGCGACGTACAATCACAAGTGGATGCTCACACCTATGGAACGGGTCATGAGTTTAACTTCGCAGCCACCAAAATAGTCGCCCGCACCGGAACCTAACCAGGCCGAGAATTGATTGAAGCCTGGGCCTCGGATGAGAACTCGGTAAATCGATTTATCGATCTGCGCCGGCATAAAGAGCCCTGCGTAGTCACCTCCAGTCTTGCGCCGTCGGTCGATGATTGGCCTACGTGACGTATAACTGTCGTTTGTTCTGCTGCTGCTACCTCTGACGATGGACGCCTGCATGAGTCTGAAAGCTTAGGACAATAACCACAGTGTTCCGGTGCTCGACTTTTCTTCTTCTCACTTATACTTAGAAATGACCCTAAGCAGTTAGAAATCGCAGGTATATCTCCAGTAGCCATGAAGAGTTTCTAATTAACCGATTATTTTTCGATATGGCCGTAAGCCCTCGTCGCTGGAACAACCAAACTTTGAGATGAACGTCCTTCAGCAGCGACTGGGATTGTTTGTACACTCCAAATCTGTTAGGAGGCTGAAATTCTTAATCGGCGTCTACCGCCTGTCTATCAAACTAATGCAGCACCAATTATTTGCGCATGAATTATTTTATAGTGGGCGGACGTGCGCTGCATCTACCGCACTCTCCCCTCCCTAACCATCCTGCTCCGGTGGCAAGACAGCCTTATGAAGACCATAAGTGGGCACGGGTTCAATAGTTGGCAAAGACAAACTGTCAGCTTACACGTGGCACACACGTCCGGATGCCCACCCCAAATGTAACAGGTTTCTGTAAGAGCGACTCGGATCCCACAGCAGCGAGCATTCACAAAGGCCATATGGAGATGCTGCCACTGGTGCCTGACAGTCAGTCCTGAGAAGTACCTACTTAATCCGTCAGTTGACGCCTTTTCAAGTCACAGCTGTTGGTGCGCCTCGAAAGATTGAAACAGCTCGCACCTGTTAGCGGGGACTGCGTCTGTGACCCCACTGACGCCCTCATTCCGCCCTCTCACATACTGTCGGAGCCTTTCTGTCAACTGGTGCTGCAGCTGGGCGCAGTGTCCGACGCGGTGTCGAGGTCTACATCTGAGGCGCGCCATCCCACTCGTCCCCCCCATGAACGGCAGTAGTTAGGGTCCGCGGAAACTCAGTACATCCCTTTAAACGTGGGACGCGAATCAGTCTGACCCGCTTTCCGTCCAACACGCCTGCTGCGCAGATGCTTTGTGGTGTCAAACTCCTGCACCAAATCTGGCAAGATCATGCTTGCCTTGGCAGAAGTGTATTTGAAGTAAACTCAATCCATTACGACTGAGTGGTCATCATTCCTGTACCAGACCCAGTTTCAGCAGTTTCATCACTGTTCTCTGGTTTGGTGCTGGTTCCCATCGAGCGCTCAATCCATGGAATACCGAGAGTGGGCAACAAGGCTTGCGTAAAGCAAACGCGAGCAGTCATGTGAACACTAGAAGAACAGTATCCCATGTATACAAAACGCAGCCGAGCCAACTTGACAACCATAACCGCACCGACGTTTTGTGATTGGCTCACGGACACAAAAATACTCTGAGTACATGTCCACGTCACACCAGCGTGTCCCTCTCTTATAACCTCAGTATAGAGGATTCTGTTATGACCCGGCTCGGAACTCAGAACTCACACAAAACGTATGCGCACTCGACTCTTGTCCCCGACAAAAACACGGCAGAAAGTGCGAACACAGTCCGCCAGGAAAAAATGCATTAGGTACCTGCAGGTCTTTCTCACCGGAGAAATAACACGTATTTGTAACACCCGATTGTGTTTGCCCAATATTCGGTCCACTTTGTTTCGAGAAGATTCCAGACTAACTGAGCATCTTCTCGAATACGCGGACGAATCATGTTCCGGGGGAGCAGCCAATGGCGGGACTCTCTCAGCACCCTGAAAGCGTGCTAACGGCACGTTAGAGAGTGCGTACATGACTTTCAGTCAGTGACTGGTTCTTGTTTTTTGGAGTGTAGGTATTCCCAACAGATTCCACCATTAAAGGCGACTGGCCGAAATGACAACTAAGAACCACTGTTATGTGTTGCCTGCCAAATCTTTCTATTATTTTAAGACATTCATAAACTACTGACGAACGATAAGGGTCTACCTCTTGCCCCACAGCAAGTTGGGTGCAGGGGAGACGGCTTGCGCGTGAGTTAATGTTTGATGATAGACTTGCGATGTATCAACCGTACCCTCTCCTCCTTAAAGACGGGGCCCAGTTGACCGCAGGCGGTATCGGATGCAATGACCGACCGGTCTTAGTGGCCCGAGACTGCCATAGGGGTCACAGTAAGAGGGAGCCATTGCAGCCTGATTCTCCGTCCTGAGAGGTGGGCTGGGTTACCGCGCCAGTTGGTAGCCTTCCAAATTACAACTTTAAGCGCACCGCCATAATTTAGAAGGGCGTCAGATTATTTCTGGTGAAGAATGTGCGTTGAGTGTCCTAGAGGCCAATTCCCCAGAGCCGACCTCCTCCTCGCTTTCCTCTTTCAGACGCAAATCTAATGTCCGGGCCGGTCAGTCATCTGATGAGGGAATTATGTGCAGGGGGCTAAGAAGCCTAAAACGGCCCTTCGGCGCGGACCACACACGACCTGCCTTCCCCTCCCCAATACGCACGAGGATTTTTACTCAAACAGGGTGGGCGGTTCGGACCTCATGTGTGTTATAGAACGACAGAGATCACAAGGAGAAGAAGTCACAAAGAAACCGAACCCATGAGCAATAGGTTCATCAGTTGCCTTGTAGTATTGGTGTAACGTGCGTTTGCCGCAAAACCAAACCATTCAGTTACAGATTTCGCTCTTCTAACCGCAGCAAATAAGTTCGGCCACTACACTCATCAGTCCTGGAAAAATTGAAAACAAAAATGAAAACAAGCAATCATCTTTCGTCCCGATTACGACGAAAATAACACATGAGATTCATCATAGCTAGACAGCTGATGTCGATGTTCAAAGTCACTGTGTGAGAGGAACCAAAGCGTCCTCGCTCTCCTCTGCCCTTGTTATCTGTTTGTAGGCATGATTAGTTGTTGGATAGGATTCCCTTCAAAAATATGTGTAGTATGGTTTCTTTCGTAACTTTCACGAAAAATTCACTGCACGAGGAGTAAATTTTATGCAAACTGCCCCTTCATCTCAAAAAGCCAGTAGTATCCGCGTGTCTCCGCTTACTTGATGGCAGCTGAATGTAGTTAAGTTAGTCGACGGTTAAGCCCCACAATATTACTAGAAATACTTCCATAAGATTTGGCGAAAACGACTGCTATCTCATAATTCCTTGTGTACGTATACAGGGCTTAACGGCTCGTGATGCCCGAATAGCAAAGGCTGATAACGAATATCCAGTCCTCGTAATATTGAGCAATCGGATCGCAATCTCTTTTTTTTTATCAAATATGTCATCTTGAAAAAAAACAATGGCAAGGACAGAGAAGTCGGAAGAAGCATTTCGCGCGCGATGTCATGGAGGAGAATAGAAGGCGTTCTGAGCACTCAGATTGTAATCGGCCTCATAGTACGGATTCGACAGTATGCCTCATCCAGTTCTTTGGGATCTCGCCTAACACCAGACAGGGGTTTATGGTAGTCGCTGAAGTTTCTGTAGTCCATTTTGTAGAAAATCCTATCCGGCCACTCCATGGCAGCCCAGAGACGGTCCCAAGCGGCGCTGACATAGAGCGGGACGTGATTGAAGTACATCTTGGGGTGAACTAGGACGGAGTTGAACATGGTGCTGTCCGACCACACCGCAATGGGCGGAGGAACATAGCCCCTCCTGTCAAAACCACAATAAAATGGAGGAAGTGGATTAAGTGTGTATGACTGCCGTCACAAGTGTTTGATATTTACACTTATGCAAATACAGTCACGATATCAACGAGCAGAATTTACCCTAGACGCTACTTTTCAGCTGTCATTCCTACTTTAGAGGACAACAAGAATCTTGACGTTTTATGTCCGCCTCGCCATCCAAAATTGTACACATATCCGAGGGGACGAGTCCTTTACTCTGTGAAGAATCACAGAACAAAATTATTTGATTATACTTAAAATAGGAGCGCCATCTTTGGCGTGGTGTATACTGAAAAGCTGTGATTGCCTTAGAATTGTCACGTTTTCGCATTGCGGAGAGCGATAGCGTTTGGGATCCTATAGGCATTTGCGGAAAGGGCGGGTGGATAAAAATAGGTTTCAGCTGCAAAC